GGTGCGATTTGGCATCCCCAAGGAGCAGGGTGCCAGGCGCACCAGCCAGGTGGGGCAGGGCGCAGCGAAGTTCGCCAACCCCGAGAAGCCGAAGGACAGAGCCGCCTCATCCTCCTCGCTGCCTTTCTCCGCCTCCACTCCACTGCTCTGCCTTGCTGCCAATCCGGAGGAGAAGATCCTCCGCAAGGACCTGTCCCGCATCGGCCTGCTAGGCTGCGGCGGTTTCGGCACCGTGGAGCTGTATGAGCACAAGGCCTCAGGTGAGACGTACGCCTTGAAGGGCCTCAGCAAGGGGTACATCGTCAAGACGGGCATGCAGGACAGCGTGATGAACGAGAAGAACATCTTGATGATGACGAACTCTCCCTTCATCATCAAGCTCCACGAGACGTACAACGGGGCGCAGTCCCTCTACTTCCTCCTGGACTCGAATAAGAACAAACGGCATAGCATGGACCTACATTTTTTGAGTTCCTCGCGAACCTAAGAGAGTTCATGTTTTATGTGGCTTTTCTTCTTGTACAAACGATCCCCATACCCATTGGGCCACGGCATCACAGCCCCACCAGCCTCCCCCCCAGGTTGGGATAGGCCCAGTGGAACCCGCGGCGAGCAGTGCAGATCCCCGTCTAAAGGGGGTACAGTGCCGTTTTTGATACATGCTCCGCGTGCGGACCATGAATTAAAAATGCATGGATTTAGTACTAAAACAACGCTGAGTTAATGCATACATTTTTTCACAAAGTGATCATGTATAGAAAATCCTATACTCTTAACATCCTATGTATTATAAAAACTGACCAGTAAGTCGGCCAGTGGGGCCGAGGCCACGCCGGTGGAGATGTGTGTATGCCGCCGCCTCTCCTTCCAGGAGCCCGCTCTCGGGGGCGAGCTGTATGCCACCTACAACCGCAAGCGCTTCCACGGCAGCGAGACCCACGCCAAGTACTACGCGGCGGGCACCTGCCTCGCGTTCGAGCACCTGCACGAGCGCAGGACCGGCCTCTGGGGATCGGCTTCGAAGTGATCTCGCCCCATCGTCGACGTCAAGGAGGCCCTGTTGGAGCCACATTGGACGGGGGGATCGACGGCGTGCTGGTTTTGCGCGGGGCCGGCGGGTTGGGCCGACGGAGGGAGGGGGGAGGGAGTGGGGAGGGAGGGGGGAGGGAGGCACCCACCCCATCCCAGGGCCACTGTCGTTGCGACCGATCCGCTTCGACGTCGATGTTGGGGGCGGCCCGATGCAACTCGATTTCGAGGGTTCTCGAATCAGAAGCGGCTGCCTCACATAGAAGCATTCGGAGTTCCTCGCAAATTTATGGGGTCTGCGCTGTACCCACCTGGCGGTGGTAACAGCGCCGCCCCTCGCACGCGCAGAGCGACAGGGATGGGGCTCCAGTGCCGTCCCAAGAAATCAGCGCGAACAATTTATGTTTCTGCAATTACGAGGTGATCTTCTAGATTATATGTCGACCCGGGAGGAGGAGGAGGAAGAGGAGGAGGAGGAGGAGGAGAAGGGAAGTAAGAGGAGGAGGAGGAGGAGGAGCAGGATAAGGCGAGAAGGAGGAGGAGGAGGAGGAGGATGAAGAGGAGGAGGCCGTGGATGCGAGAGATGTGGAGGGGGAGGAAGAGGAGAAGGGGGAGGAAGAGGATGATGATGATGATGAGGAGGAGGAGGTGGAGGAGGAGGAGGAGGAGGAGGGGGAGGGGTGGAGGAGGAGGAAGGGAGGGAGGAGGAGGAGGAGGAGGAGGAGGGAGGAGGAGGAGGAGGAGGAGGGAGGAGGAGGAGGAGGAGGAGGAGGAGGAGGAGGAGGAGGAGGAGGAGGAGGAGGAGGAGAGGGAGGGGGGCGAGGGGAGGAGAAGGGGAAGCGGAGTAGCATGAGGAGGAGAGGAGGAGGAGGAGGAGGAGGAGGAGGAGGAGTAGGTGGAGGAGAAGGAGGAGGAGGGGGAGGAGGAGGGGGACAGGGGAGGAGCAATAGGAGAAGGAGGGGAGGGAGACAAGCGGGAGGACGGTGATGGGGTCCCCTCGGGTGCTGTGGCGCTCGACGGAGTGGCTTCTTGGCCTCCTCCTCCTCTTCCTCCTCCTCCTCCTCCTCCTCCCTCCCATCCTCCTTTCCTCCCTCTCTCCTTTCCTCCTCCTCCTCCTCTCCTCTCCTCCTCCTCCTCCTCCTCTTCCTCCTTCTTCCTCCTCCTCTACCTCCTCCTCCTCCTTCTTTTCTTCTCTTTCTCCTCTTCCTCCTCCTCCTTCCTTTACCTCGTCATCCTATGCGTCTTCCTCCTCCTCTCCTCCTCCTCCTCCTCGAGTGTCCACCTCCTCCTCCTCCTCCTCCTCCTCCTCCTCCTCCTCCTGCCCGTCGCGACCATCAGAGGAGTGTTGTTCCCTTCGGTCTGGGTCAGGCGCTGACGTGCTTTCGGCACCCCTGTCCTCCTGCCCCTCCTCAGACGAGCAGGAGGCCATGAGAATGGCACGTTCCAAGATCTCCGTGATTCCTGGGATGCCCCAGATTGTTTTAATTGCCGTGACGAGCTTCGGAAACGATGCCGCTAGATACTTCGGATGTCTTGGAGCGTGTCTTGAGCCAATCGCATTTTGACATCAGCATCGTCCTACCTCCTCCAGGATCATATACCGAGACCTGAAGCCAGAGAATCTCCTGCTCACGGAGAAGGGGCACATCAAGCTCACGGACATGGGCCTGGCCAAGTTCGTCATCGGCAAGACGTACACCACGTGCGGCACCCCCGACTACTTCGCCCCGGAGGTGATCGCCTCTGTCGGGCACACCAGCGCGGTGGATTGGTGGACGCTGGGCATCCTCGTGTTCGAGCTGATGGCGGGCAACCCCCCGTTCGAGTCCGCGTACCCGATGCAGATCTACGCCAAGGTGACCAAGGGCATCGGGAAGGTGACCTTCCCTCCGAAGTGCTCGGGGACCGTCGGCACGCTGATCCGGGCGCTGCTGAAGAGCGAGCCGAGCGAGCGGCTGCCGGTGCGCCCGGGCGGCGTGGCGAACCTGAAGTCGCACGCCTGGTTCGACGGCTTCGACTGGGAGAAGATGACGAACCTGACGCTGGAGGCGCCCTACAAGCCCGTGGTCAAGAGCAAGAAGGACCTGGCGAACTTCTCCGCCCGCCCCGAGGACAAGCCCCGGCAGATCGAGTACAAAGACCCGGGCACTGGCTGCGGGAGGGCAGAAGGGCATGCCCCTGCTCGCCCCGCACCCGTCCCCTCTCCGCCCCCTCCGAGGCCAGGGCTCGTCTTTTCGGTCGGGCATGTCCCCTCTACAGGAGGAGCGTCCAAAAGTAATCAGACCAACATACTCTGGGGACGATGCTTGGACTTTTTGGGATAATGCTTGAACCGTTTGGACTACCTTTTTTTTATTTTTCCTCCAAGAGCCGCCTGTAGGGGGGCATGCACGACCTAAGACCTGTCCGCATCCACCGTCCTGGGGGCCGATCTGTTGGGGCCGCGCTGCCAGGACTTCTCTGACGTCTCGGGTCTCGGAGTCCTCGTGAAGCCACGAAGGCATCCACGTTCGCAGCAGCTCTCGAGGTCCTTCGGGAGCCGATCCTGCTGGGATGGGATGAACCTTGTGTGCTGGGAGGGGGATCTAATCCTGGGATGCTCCTGGGATCGGGAGGGATGGTCTTCAGTCGGGCCTGTCCCTCTGCAGGAGGAATGTTCCGGAATTGATAACAAATAGTCGGGGGACGATTTGTTTTAACTATCCGTAAGGGCTTCGCCCCCTGCCGCCGGCCCCCTCTCTCGGAGAATGGGCCATGGAAGAGCTAAGTCATGAGGCCTTGGCGCTGTTGTGAAGCAGTATCAAAACTTCATGCGAAACCGAACGCAATCAGCAAAACCAACTGATCACAAGAGAGGTTACCACACCTGGCGATAGGTAAGACGTGTATGGTGTACGGGCTTGGTTACCACACCTTGCGATTAAAGGGCCGAGGGAGTTCTCGCAGTTTGGGTTACCACGCCTTGCGATGGATGTGCGTGACCCTGACCCTGACCCCGCGGATCTGCGTAAGGAGTGGCGCCGAATTTCAGAAATGTGGCAAATCCCCTGTGTTTTTGAACCCTGACCCCGCGGATCTGCGTAAGGAGTGGCGCCGAATTTCAGAAATGTAGCAAATCCCCTCTGTTTTTGGACCCTGACCCCGCGGATCTGCGTGAGGGGTGACACCGAATTTCAGAAATGTGGCAAATCCCAAGTGTTTTTGGACCCTGACCCCGCGGATCTGCGTGAGGGGTGGCACCGAATTTCAGAAATGTGGCAAATCCCATGTGTTTTTGGACCCTGACCCCGCGGATCTGCGTGAGGGGTGGCACCGAATTTCAGAAATGTGGCAAATCCCATGTGTTTTTGGACCCTGACCCCGCGGATCTGCGTGAGGGGTGGCACCGAATTTCAGAAATGTGGCAAATCCCGTGTGTTTTTGGACCCTGACCCCGCGGATCTGCGTGAGGGGTGTCGATTTCGAGCCCCCCCAGCAATTCAGACAACGCGCCCAGGGGGTGCTAAAAATCCCGTTTGGGCCTCCCCCCCCTCGCGCGGTCAATCAACTAGTTACAGTAACCAGCAAGAAGTCAACTAGTTACAGTAACCAGCAAGAAGCAGAACTGTAACACTGGAAACTACAAGCTACAACTGGTACTGGAAACTGCGAACCCGTGCCTCGCAGCCTGGTGGCCCCACAAGGGGGCCGGCGGATTCTTGAGTATGTTTGAGTTTTTCTCCCGCCCAAAATCCGTTAGCAAAGCCACGCCGTCGTGGAGACAGAAAGCACCACTGGGCCTCTTGACCCCAGCGTCTGGGGAGGATCTCTTCAGCCGGATCGTTCCGCGGCGCAGGATGGGACGAACACTCCCGTCGTGATTTGTTTCGATTCGCCTTTTTCACGTCCAGACCGCGTACAGTCTGGGCGTTTAGACTGCATGTCTATGCTTTGAGGAGGAGGCTTTTGTGATGTCTATTGGGCCATACTGCAGCGCTTCTTAGGGACCTCTTGGAGGCTTCTGGGGGCCTCTTTCTTTGGGGGCCTGGTTGTACCGTCTTGGGCTGGTCTGAAAGGGCCTCAAGTTGTCTTGGGCTTGTTGGAAGGCCAAAGGGCGAAAACGGCAAATTCCCCCAAAATCCGACTGAACACCATTTACGTTTGCCTACCGAGGTCATTTTGGGAGTCCTCTTGGGGCCCTCTCGAACAGTTTCGGAAGCCTCGCGGACCGCGTTGATGCTATATTAAACAACATTGAGGCCATCTTGCATTTTGGGTCGTATTAGACCGTATTAAACCGTCTCGCGCCATTTTGAAGGCCATTTGGAGCATTGCTTCTCTTGAAGGAGCGCTGTAGGCTTCCTCAGCAGCCTTCAAGGAAGGTCGCCATCTTCGATCGACGGATGGAACGCGGCGCTGATGGGAGGAACAGTGGGTTATTGATCCGTCAGTTATGAAATTCTGCATCGATCGACTACCATCAGTTATATGTTAGTTCTGTACATGTAGATCACATGGATAATAGGGTCCCAGATCGCATGCGGACAACGCTGCCTCTCAACATGCCTCCGCTTCGCTTCTGGACGCGGATTCCTCTCGTTCCGCGGGGTCCACGCCCGGAACGCGTCAAGTATGGACGTTGCGACCGCAATTGGTGGCAGGATGCGGAGGCCTTTGGCTGTCTCTCGGGGTCTGATCATGGCCCTTCTTAGGGGCCTCTTGGGAGCTTGTTGAGGGCTCATGGAGCCTTGGGGCTTCTCGGGTGTGTGGGAGGCCATCTCGGGGAGGCAAAGCTCCTGGGTCCCCTTTGCACTTCCCTATCGTGGGCTCCTCCGAAGGTCTTCTTGAGGGCTTCTTTGACCGTGTTGGCTGGGAGAATCTTGGCCTGTGACTGGGGTACTCGTGGGGCCTTCTTGGGCCGTCGCGGCCTGCAGAGCTCGAGAAGACGATACGTCGAGCACGAAGCGGCAACCGTAGGGGTATCAATGATGTTTGCATGTGGAGGCCTTCTTCGGCTGTCTTGGAGGCCCCTCGGTCTGTTTTGAGGCAATCTTGAGCCGTCTCTGGGCCTTCGCGGCCGTCTCGGATTTTTTCCCCCAAGGAGCGATCAAGGGCCGATTCAGAGCCCTCAGGGTCGCCATCTTTGGTCGACGGAAGGGCCGTGGCGCTGGTGCGAGGATAGACGGGGGCTGCTTATGCATGGCATGCTATTTGTCATGCATCACGACATCTTGTCACGCGTTGCGTCTACGATGACTTACTCTGACAACATCGCCGCGGATCGCAGTCGAGGCACGCTGTCGCTCAGCATGTCGCCTCTTCGCTACCAGACGTGGACACACACCGTTTCGCGGGGGGAAGTGCCGGGGGGACAGGCCGCCTTCTCGGGCGGCGGCGGGGCGCCGGAGAAGGCTCGGAAGAAGCGCTGCTCGGGCGGCGGGAGGCCTCCGGAGCCTCCTGAGCAGGCCCGCCCCCCCTGCGCTTGGCATCGCTCGGACGTGTGCATTCTTCCTTCGGCGAGGACCCTCGAGGAGCATCCCTGGTCATTTGGCGAAACAGCCGCGCACGAAGCCGAAAAAATCGCACAGGGAATGGGCGCCCGAGCGATGGCCAGGGGGTGCGCCGCCGACGCTGAGGACGGATGCGTTGGGGCCGCCGCGGGGCCGCCTCGGGGCCGTCGTCGGCCGCCTCGTGGGCCTCTCGCGGGCCCCCCCGGGCCGCGCGCGAGCGCATGCGGAGGCCGAGTTCGTTCCCGTTCGGACGCGCAGGGAGCCGGGGCCGTCCGAGAGCCGTCGCGGACCTCTCGGAGGCCAGCCTGGGAGGTCCCCTCGGGGGGCGTCCTGGGCGCCGCCTGCGGCCGTCTGCAGGGCTGCCTTCGGACCCTCGTGGGCCAACGCGTGGCTCCCAGTGCTAGGGTGTATTCAGGAGCGACAGGCCCAGACCCCCTCGAGTAATGAAAAAATCACGACGGGAGGTTTTTCCTGATTTTCGGCCTCCGGGGGCCCTCACCGGGCCTCGGGAGCGTCAAAAAACGACTCAGGATGAAAAACCGGTCCCGGCGAATAGGTCCGGACCTCTGGGGGTCGCGTCATGAAAAAATCACGACGTCGGGGGTCTGGGGAAGGACGTACACGTACATGAATCCACGTTGGTCTCGAGAGTACGCATTGCGCAAATGTTCGTATAACGCAGCCGGTCTCGCGGATCGAGGGGCCGTGTTCATGTACATAGCTGGGCGCGTACGTCCTTTGTGGGCTCCCTATGTATTGGGACCGTCCTGTGACCGGTTTGGGGGGACCTACTGCGCCGTCGCGGGGCCCTCCGTCGGCGTGGGGGAGTGGGGGGGCACCGGCACTACATCACATGCACCTTTTCTGATCGGGGGAAACGATGGGCGGGATGGGCATTAGAGGGGGGTGCATCGACCTCGAACGGTCGACGTGTCGACGCCGCATCGTTGGTGTCAGGGTGAGGTACCGACGATGTGCAGACGATGCGTGGGGCGGTCTGCACCGACGGTGCCTGGGAGGTGTACCGGCCACGCGAGGCCGAGGCATCCCCCGCGCGCATGGGAGGTGCACCGGCCATGCGAGGTCGAGGCATCCTCCCCCGCGCGCATGGGAGGTGCACCGGCCATGCGAGGTCGAGGCATCCTCCCCCGCGCGCATGGGAGGTGCACCGGCCATGCGAGGTCGAGGCATCCTCCCCCGGTGCGCATGGGAGGTGTACCGGCCATGCGAGGCCGAGGCATCCTCCCCCGGTGCGCATGGGAGGTGTACCGGCCATGCGAGGCCGAGGCATCCTCCCCCGTGCGCATGGGAGGTGTGCCGGCCCTTCGAGGTCGAGGCAGCCTCCCCGGTGCCTACCCCCCTTACGGTGCCGTTTTTTCGGGGGCGGAAAAGAGGGGGGTGATGACTAGGGGGGGGGATATCATGGCGCGGGCCATGATTTTTCCTCAGATTTCATGGCGCCTCCTCTTATTTCATTACGTCCCTGGCCCCCCCGCTGGGCCGCGCACATGCCGCCGGTCATGATTTGCACCCCCCCCTCTTGGACACCCCCCTCTTTACCGCCCCCGAAATACATGCTCCGCGTGCGGATCCTGTATTAAAAATGCAGGGGGGTCGCATTAAGAAACAACGATGAGTTCATGCATAAATTGATTCATAAGTCAATCATGTATTGAAAATCCTATATTTCCCTACCTAGACTCTGCCTAGAAGGGTTCTTACTCTCTTGCTAAAAGGGGCCGGGCAGTGGGGCCCGCCCCGGGAGGTTCCCCCGGCATCCGCCCCGCGGTTCCCCCAGTTACGTCCCTTTAGCTTAGCGTTGCTTATCTCATCTTAGCTTAGTTGATTTAATTTTAGCTTAGCTTAGCTTCATCTTAGCTCAGGCTTGTCTTAGCTTAGCTTACCTTCATCTTAGCTTCGCTGAGCTTTAGCATAGCAGAGCACAGCACAGCATAGTATAGCGTAGCATAGCATAGCGCAGCACAGCATATCATAGCATAGCCCAGCATAGCATAGCATAGCATAGCATAGCGCATCATAGCATATCATAGCATAGCATAGCGCAGCACAGCACAGCACAGCATAGCACAGCGCAGCATAGCAGCATAGCAGAGCAGAGCATAGCATAGCAGCAAAGCAAAGGCAAAGCAACAGCAGCGACAGCAAAGCAAAGCACAAGCAACGCAAAGCAAAGCAAAAGCAAACGCAAAGCAAAGGAAGGGCAAAGCAAAGGCAATGTGCGACAGATGCCACTTTAGTTCTTCCGTTCGGTAATTAGCATGGGTGTAACTCCTTACCTAGGTTCTGCCTAGAGGGTTAGCTTAGCGTAGCTTAGCTTTGCATAGCGCAGCGCTGCATTAGCATAGCATAGCATAGCATAACATAGCCAAGCATGGCATAGCATAGCGCAGCATAGCATAGCATAGCATAACACAGCGCAGCTTAGCATAGCATAGCGTAACATAGCATAGCTTAGCATAGCACAGCGCAGCATGACATAGCATAGCTTAGCTTAGCATAGCATAGCATAGCGCAGCGTAGCATAGCATGGCATAGCATAGCATAGCAACTAATGCTGCTTTCCTAGGGGCTCCAACTTCTAGGCAGGGTTGCACTGGGGTAATCTAAAACATCCCGTGTCTTAAAGCCTGCCCTGTATCGTGGCCCCCCGATCGAGTGCCCCCTCGGCGTGCAGGAGGAGGAGGAGGAGGAGGAGGAGGAGGAGGAGGAGGAGGAGGAGGAGGAGGAGGTACACTGCGCGTGCTGGCGCTGCGCCCGAGAGCTGCCCCCCGTGGCCCGCTCCTGCCCCGGGGCCCTGCCGTGGGCTCCCGCGGCCCCGGAGGGGTGCACGCCCGGAGCGCGCAGGACGCCTGGGCGCCGGGTGGCCTCTCGGTGGCCTCTCGGAGGGGTGCCAGAGACCGAAGCCAGGACGAGGGCGACAAAGTCAGGTGAGGATAGAGGATAAGTATATCGAGTATCTCGAGGATCTGGCGGCTCTGGAGGATGTGTCGGGTGCCGCGGCCTTCCCAGAGCTTTGCCCAGCGCTCTGCCACTAGCGATCTGCGAGCGTTCTGGAGCGCTCTGGAACGGGTCTATCTTCGTCCTAACCCCACCCAGGGTGCGTGACTACAATACAGCCGGGGCGCTGAAGAAGGAACCCTTTTCGTTGGGGAGGGGCTCGATGTTCTTTAATTGTTCCACACCTTGCCTAAGGTTTCACTTCAGTTTTCGATGGGAAGTCGGAGTTTAACTTACGAAAAAAGGGGCCTCGTTCCTTATTGAGGGTTCCTTAGGTCAACGCCTCGACTGTATGTAAGTGACGTAGGAGGACGATTTCGATTACGAAAGCATTCGTGCGTAAAAGTTGCCTGCGTACGATGGCGCGTAGGCGCCCCCGCTTCCAATGTATAGCGTGCCGCGCTGGCGGCCCGCGCAAGACACGGCGTGAGGTCGCTGTGTCATCTCGCGTGAGGCCCTTTGAGGTTCGTCGCGCACGCGACTACGGTAGGTTCGTATCGTGTCGACCGGCGGCGACCCCGCCGCCGGCGTTCAACGTTGAACGCCGGCGGCGGCCCAGAATCGATCGATGTTGAACGATTGGACGTTGCGGAAACGACCGATCGTTCAAGGTTGAACGATCCCCGTGGTGTCAGGAACCAACGCCTGGGTCGACACGACACGAGCCTGCCGCGTGCAGGGCCTGCCGTGCTGGTCTGCTGGAGGCCCTCCCTGGGGGTTCTGCCGAGGGCCCTCTTGGGCCGTCTTGGGTGCCCGCTCGGCCCTCTTGGCGCCACCCTTTGCCCAAGCTTGGGGGCCCTGCCGGAAGCCCTGGGGCGCCTCTGGGGACAACGGGCCCTCTCAGGCGTCTCGTGGGGCCCCCTTGCGAGTCTTCTGGGGCCCCTTGGCACCGTCCTGCGGCTGGCTTGGGCCGTCCCGGGGCTCTTGGGCCGTCTCAGGGCTCTCTTTGGCCGTCTTCGAACCGTCCGGGGCTATTTTTACTCAGTGTCGTTTGACCGACCCGTATCCCCATTCCGAGCCCGACGATCTCAGCACCCCATTGCGGGATATACCCCTCGAAACCCTAAGGGGCCAGCCTATATCCCCACCTAGGGAGATAGATTGGCCATTGGGGCCAAGGCCACAACAGTGGGGAGAAGGATCGCTGGCACGACGTTCCTTTACGCGTCTGGCAGCACTTCTGGGACAGATGACGCCGCCGGGGCGGTCCAGCCCGTTCCGACGGCTCCGCCCACCGGATCCGCAGGGGCCCCACCCCCTTCCAGATCCGCGGGCTCTGCGGGAGGGTCGGGGTCAGGAGCAACGTTAGGGGGGGATAGGATACTCCAGATTTCGTAATAAAGGGAGGGGGGTCTCATTTCGGGGGGGGGTCTCTTCCAGGCTATCTTGGAGGGCCTGGGGGGGGTCTGGGGACGATGTTTTGGAGGGTTCTCCCACGGGGGGGGGTCTGAAATGGCTTGTCTTGGAGGGTCCAGACCCCCTCCCTTTTATTACGAAATCTGGAGTAGGCTCAGGGGGGATGCATCGACCCCCCATCGCCCATTCATCGTCGGTAGGGGCCCGATGGCCCCACCCCGCCCATGAGCGTCCGGATCTGCTCGCGGGCCTACCGCCGATCCATCGGTGATGCATCGCCGATTCCGGGTCGATGTTTCCCCCCTGAGCCGGTCTCGCCTGTCGTTGCTCCTCAGGATGGGTGTGGGGAGGCACGCCGCGGAGACCCCGAAGGGGTCAGTAAAACGGATCGGGATAACTCGAAATCTCTGAGAATCGGCGGGGTTTGGAGGATGTATTGGGCGCCGCGGCCGCTCCAGAGCGTTCCGGAACGCTCTGAGAGCGCTCCGGAACGCTCTGGAGCGATTTATCCCGATCCTAGCCCTATTTTAGTCAGCAAATTCTGTCACGGCGCCAAGGGTGTCAGAGGGGCAGAGTGCGATTCTGTGCCCCCAGGCTGGGACAAGAACTTCGCCACCTGCTCGTGAGGGTGCTGCTCGGCAGTGGGAGAAGGCTCCGCCTTCTCCTCCTCCTCCTCCTCCTCCTCCTCCTCGGTCTCATCATTCATTCGCCTCCTGCTCCTGCGAAGGGACCTCCTCCTCCTCCTCCCTCGTCCTCCTCTGCCTCCTTCACCTCCTCCTCCTCCTCCTCCTCCTCCTCCTCCTCCACACGGAGAGTTAGAGTGTCTCTCAGGCGCTCGCCCAAGTTGCAGTGACTTCTCCGATAGGCCGAGAGCCAGGACACTGCGGGGCGGGTCTCCTCCTCCTCCTCCTCAGGCAACGGGGACCTCCCCCGTCCTCTTGCCCCTTGCATCCACCTTGCGCCCCGATCACTCCCTCCCACCGTTGAAGACCCTTCTCTGCCCCTCTGCGTCAAGGTTCTCCTGCCCCTTCTCCCGATGGGACCTCCACCTCCTCCTACCAGACCTGATCCGCCTCCTAACACGGTTTCGGTTGTTCTTCCTTTTCTTGTTCCTCTGATTCAGGGCGCACTGTCTGTTTGACATGCGTGCATTTAGGAGATGTTGAAGCGTGACACGCCGCATCCCTTCCCTCTTGCGATGCAGGACGATCGCCGGATCAGCACTCGGCAAGTCCAGCTGCAGCCAAGGGACTACCGCTTCAGTGCAGAAGCTCCTTTACTCCTACGTCGCAGCGCTTATACACCTTAAGCCCATCGACACCGAGTGCAGCACTCCATGAAGTAGCGGACTTCATATCTTGGTATCAAACAGCCTCCGTACCCCCACGCGATTTCGGCTCAGCCGTGTGATGAGTGGGACCACCGCTTCGCAGTGGAACGTTGCCCTCATATTGATGGACAGGGCGGCTCAGTGTCCCAGCGTCTTCCCTTAAGTCGGGCGTGTCCCCCTACAGGGGGATTTTCGACGAAAAAAAAAAAATACCCCAAGAATAGTCAAAACATAATCCAAAAATAGTCTGTGGACTAGTTTTCGAGTAGTTTGTTTACCTTTTTGGGGTATGTTTGGGGTATTTTTTCCTCCGAAAATCCCCCTGTAGGGGGACACGCCTGACTTAATCCCAGCATCTTCCCCCCCTCACCCCTAAGAGCTTTCTAGAGAGCCATCCCCGACTCCACCTCCCACCCCACACCTCCATCCTCGATCCTCGTAAGTACGGGGGAGATGCCCTGTCCGATGACAGTGCGCCCAGGGACCACCGCTTCAGCGTGGGAGTTTCACTATAGAACGATTCTCGCCCACCGGCACCGGCACCGGCACCGGCACCGGCGCCGGCACCGGCACCGGCACCGGCACCGGCACCGGCACCGGCACCGGCACCGGCACTGGCACCGGCACTGGCACCGGCACCGGCACCGGCACCGGCACCGGCACCGGCACCGGCACCGGCACCGGCACCGGCACCGGCACCGGCACCGGCACCGGCACCGGGCACCGGCACCGGCACCGGCACCGGCACCGGCACCGGCACCGGCACCGGCACTGGCACCGGCACCGGCACCGGCACCGGCACGGGCACCGGCACCGGCACCGGCGCCTGCGCCGGCGGCATTGGCACCGGCACCGGCACGGGCACCAGCGCCGTCGCCGTCGCCGGCGCCAGCACCGGCACTGCACCCGCACCCGCAACCGCACCGGCACCAGCCCTGGCACCGGCACCGGCACCGGCGCCGGCGCCAGCACTGGCACCGGATGAAAAACATCATTGACATTGAACATCATGACATTTCCCAAACAGTGCTTGCACTTAGGGGGCCTTCTCTCTTCTTTCCTAGTATTAGCTGGGTCGTCTGAGGGGCGGTCTGGCGGCTCTCTCCTCCTCGCCGTTGCCGCCCTGTCGCCGCCCGTCGTCGTCTGGGCTTGAGGGGCGGTCTGGTTTTTCCGTCCTTGCCGTCGCCCCCCCTTGCTGCGTCGTCGCCGCCCGTCGTCTTGGCCTGAGGGTCGGTCTGGCGGTTCCTTGCTCGTCGCCGTCACCGTCCCGTCGCCGCCTCCTCGTCGCTGCCCTGTGCGCCCCCCCAGCGGTTGCAATCCAATCGGTTGCAAGCCAATCAAGTGCAAACCCAGTGGAATCGATCGCAGTCCAATCAATGGTAAAATTATGCAAACGCAGTTCCCCACATAAAAAATATTAACAGTTTCGTGGGACCCATGGGGTACGACAACATCAACACGAAGGAGAAACTCATCGAACGAGTAAGTACGCACGAAAAGGGCAGACGAAAGAAAGGAGGAGGGAGGACAGGTGCTCAGGAAACGAAGCCTTGTAAATAGTACGGGTCGTTGATACCCTCTTCGCTCTGGCGGGGCCCCGCTGGAAGAAGGGAGGCCTACGAAACCTGGTAAAGAGTAATGCTGTCCGCGACCCTCCTCGTTCAAGCGAATCCTCCTCCTCCTCCTCGTCGTCCTGCTCCTCCTTGTCCTCCTCATCCTCGGCATCATCATCATCATCATCACCAGCATCATCGTCGTCATCATCAGCATCATGAACAGCATCGTCGTCACCCCGTCGTCGTCGTCATCATCAGCATCATCGTTATCATCATCAGTATCAACATCATCAACATCATCATCATCGTCAGCATCATCGGCATCATCATAGCCACCATCATCATCATCATCCTCATCATCATCAGCATCATCATCATCGCCAGCCTCATCGTCATCATCATCGTCGCCGCCACCATCGTCATCATCATCATCACCATCATCATCATCATCAGCATCGTCATCATCATCACCAGCACCGTCCTTGGCATCGTCATCGTCCGCATCATCGGGGACGTCATGATCATCAGCATCATCGTCGTCATCATCATCAACAGCACCAGCAACGCCAGCATCAGCAGCAGCATCGTCATCATCACCAGCATCTGCATCATCATCCTCGTCGTCGTGGCCATCGTTGTCATCATCGTCATCGTCATCATCATCATCGTCATCATCACCAGCATCATCATCATAATCACAGTTATCGCCATCGCCATCGTCCATCACCATTATCGCCATCGTCATCGTCATCGTGAACAGCAGTATAACCATCGTCATCACCATCATCATGATGAAGCCTTCCGCATCGCAGAACCCCCCCTCCTCCTCACCCTCCTCAGTGGGAGGAGTAGGACGTGAGATGGATAAGTCATGTTCTCCCCTCCTCCTCACCCATGTCAATGGGAAGGGCACGACACCATTTAAATAGTATGGGTTTCCGATACCCTCCTCGCTCAGACGGGGCCTCCCTGGAAAGGTGGTAGGGGCACGAAACCATGTAAATAGCATGGGTTTCCGATACCCTCCTCGCTCAGGCGGGGCTTCCCTGGAGGGATGGGAGGGGCACGAAACCATGTAAATAGCATGGGTTTCCGATACCCTCCTCGCTTAGGCGGGGCGTCCTTGGAGAGGTGGGAAGGGCACGAAACCATGTAAATAGTATGGGTTTCCGATACCCTCCTTGCTCAGGCGGATGGAAAGGGCACGAAACCATGTAAATAGTATGGGTTTCCGATACCCTCCTCGCTCAGGCGGGGCCTGCCTGGAGGGGTGGGAGGAGCACGAAACCATGTAATCTTTATTAATTTCCGATACCCTCCTCGCTCAGGCACGGCCTCCCTGGAGAGGTGGAAAGGGCACGAAACCATGTAAATAGTACGGGTTCCCGATTCCCTCCTCGCTCAGGCGGGGCCTCCCTGGAGGGGAGGGAGGGGCACGAAACCATGTAAATAGTATGGGTTTCCGATACCCTCCTCGCTCAGACGGGGCCTCCCTGGAAGGGTGGGAGGGGCACGAAACCATGTAAATAGTATGGGTTTCCGATACCCTCCCCGCTCAGTCAGGCGGGGCCTCCCTGCTGGAGGGGTGGGATACCCTCCTCGCTCAGGCGGGGCCTCCCTGGAGAGGTGGGAAGGGCACGAAACCATGTAAATAATATGGGTTTCCGTTACCCTCCTCGCTTAGGCGGGGCCTCCCTGGAGGGGCGGGAGGGGCACTGCTGGGAGGCGGGAGGCGGGAGGGAGAAGGAGAGGATGTTCTGGGAAAACAAGAACCCGCACCAGCACCGGCCACCTGCACCAGCACCGGCACCAGCACCGGCCCCGGCACTGGCACCAGCACCGGCTACCGGCCACTTTGGTGATGGCGTTGACATATGTTACATGCTGCATGTATGCTACTTCTTCTTACTTATATCTAGCATCTTCATCAAAACTAGTTTACTTATATCTTACTTATATGTAACTTATATCTAATTTATAAGTCCGATAAGTCTGGTTTTTCGTATGGAAAATGGGGGGCGGGGGCGCTTTCAAAAACGCGTCGGCGTCGCCATCGATCCGTGCAGCCTGCGGGGCCCCGCTCCCGCCCCCCTCCTCTCCGTCCCTCCTTTTCCCCAGGCGGGATGCCGCCAGGCGGGCTACCGCCGCGCGAACGTGATTTTTTACAACAGGCGGCCCACCGCCAGGCGGTGCACCGCCGCGCGCGCGCGTTTTACACCAGCGCGCGGACCGACCCGTCCTCGGCTCGGCGGGTGTACGCCGCAGGCGCCCGCGGGGCGTCCTCAGCAGCCAGCGCGCCGCATCCTATGGGGCGGCGGCGTAGTGGGCCATCCCATCCTCCTCGTCCCTCCTCCTCCTCCTCCTCCTCCTCCTCCTCTCCTTCCTCGTCCCCCTCCTCCTCCCCTCCTCCTCGTCCCCCTGTTCCTCCTCCTCCCCCTCCCTCCCCTCCTCCCCCCCCCTCCTCCTTGCACAGCTCGGTCCTCCTCGTGGCCGCCACGCGGACTCCCCAGGCGCAGGCCGCGACGCCAGGTCCAGCGGCTCCACGATGAGGTAGGAGCGCCCCGCGGCCACCGCCACGCAGTGGGCGTGGAACGCGGCGTCGCCCTCGAGCCACGCGCCCCCGCTGCCGTAGACGAGGCCGCCGACAGCAGCTCGACGACAAGTGATTGCGCCGTGCCTGGATAGGCCCTGGTGCACGCGCGAGCCTCGGCGTTGCCCCGAGAGGCGCCCCCGCAGGCGC